TTCATTTGCTGAAGATTAAAGGATTTTCAGTATTTATATCCTCTCACTGATCAAATTAGAGCTTCTCTAGCTGCGATAGATGAAGCTCCGATAGTTCTAAACACATCACATCAAAAGGGCTTCTTATCGTATAATGATATGCTCCATAAAGATAAGACGCAATGATGTGCGTCCCAGGAGGGAGCGAAAAACTCAAACCCAAGAAAGACTTTAGCAACACTACCTCCTCCGGCTGATATGAAAAACATATGGCAAACAAAACACACACACAAACATGCGCACACACAAAGCACACAACCGCGCACCTGCTTTAGTAATGGGTGGCTGCTAAATTAGCTGTGACTATACATAGCAAAGAGTGTCAACGTCTCACAGGAGGCAGTCCAGTTTTGGTCTCACCTCCGAGGTACAAGCTGCAGCCTGAAAGAAGAAGCTCCTACAAAAGGAGAAATATACGAGCTGAGCGCTGCTATCAAATGATCCTCTCATTCATGCTTCAAAGTCATTCATCTTCCAGAGAAATACAGCTGGGTGACGGCCCAGAGAAGGAGAGAGAGAGAGAGAGAGAGAGAGAGAAAAAAAAGTGTGTGTTTCCCCTCTGTGTGCGTTTCTGCATGTGTGTTTGGTGACAACTCATGACTCATTTCACCCTTCAAATGGCCCTGTGGCACTCAATCAGTCAATAAACAAAGACCAGCAAAGCCTCTTCGCTCTTTCTTCCTCAGTCTTTCATTTTAAAAATCCTCTTTTCACCTCTTTTCCCCTGACTCATTACACCTCGTCACACACTCCCCCCCACCCTCCGACTCCTGGATTCGTCCCCTCCCCTCAACTCTCACCAGCACCCCGCCGATACGAGCGCAAAGGAAAAGTACAACGAACTCCAAACTTAAATAAGTTTACAATAATCGCTTCTCCTGTTGTCACAGAAGTTTGGATCCATCTCTGTTTAACCTTTCAAACATCCTCTTGGCTTGATCCCCTCGTGAAAAAGAGGCTTTGGGGATTATTTAATCGTGACCCAAATAGAGTCTCCCTCTTCTCCCCGCACTGGCATCATGGTTAAAAGACAGATTCCTCTGCTTATTTGAGTGGGGTTTGAGGTTGTAGTGGAGAGAGGGACAGAGCTAATGTAGTGTAACAGTGCTTGGCGAGCGAAGGCTGGTTTAGCGCCGCTAATTCCCTCTGACGTATGGACATGCAACTGAATGTTTTACTCAAGCCACAGACATTCATTCTTGGATCCGAGCAGCCGAAATAATAGCACATCCAGGATCACATATCGCTCGCCTGCGCTTCCCTGCCTCGCTCGGAACTCAAATTATTTCCTACACCTGCCCTCGTTGCTGTTTCTGCTGTTTAGCATGCAGTGTGAAATTACCACAGCTTCCTCTGCTTGTTTTACAAGGATGTGTCCCATCAGAGAACTGGTTTGTGTGTGTGTGAGTGTTTGTCTTTCTACACAAGCACATCCACTTTTTATCACTTCCTTTCCAGCTCTCTCCACCTATCAGTCTTAATTTTTTAACGGCGTACGTGTGTGTTTTCCCTTTAGCTCACTTTACTCCAGCTGTGAGGCATTATATTGTAATATTTCTTGCAGGAAATAGAGTCGCAGTGTGTGTTTTGAGATATTGGCACCCAGCCTGTTTATAAAGCATCAAGTCTCTCACAAATTACCTTGACAGAAGACAAAGATGTAACGCAGCTCTGTTTGCATGGCACTGATGTAGCTGTCATGTAGACTTTTGTTAGGATAAACAACAGATGCTATGGGGTTGCATTGTGCATCCCACTTGATAGCCTCTCCACGATCTCTATGGCAACCGCTGTGACACTTTGGCCTTTAAAGAACAGAAGTGGTGTGGATGATAAACTTTCATTTTGCCAACATTTTCATTTCCTCCGTGACGGACAAGCTCTCAAAATCCCCCGCCGGAAACCTTGGAGTAGCCATAGCAACATCGCACCATTTCACTAAATGACTGACAATGGCAGAGCTCAAAAGAAAGAAAATGTTTACTTACGCCCTGGCAACTTTCTCTGTTGTGTAGGAATAGGTCAGAAATGTATCCGCATACGCTGCCACCAGCACAAAACCCCAAAGGAGCGCTAAAAACGAACACAAATATTTGGAATCTTTCTAACATGTGGGATCATTCTACACTACAGTCTTGAAATCAGAAGTGGCAGGAGGAACAAGGGAGGGATGAGATAATGGCAAAGTGGTTGTGATGTATAAATAGCCTGTGGTAGTGAGAGGACAAAGCACAGCAGGGAGGAACAGCAAACCACTTCAACTATTGTTTGAGTCTCTGAGTTTACTTGCATAAAAGCAATAAATCATCCACTGAGGGGAATTTGTGAAATCAGGGCTTCCGTGCAATTCTCAGCCAGTAAACCCAGGTCCTTTGTGAGGGCTGTGTGCACAGAGACAAACTATCCCAAAGCTCCATCTTGCCCGAGTCAGATAAATAAGTAACCGAAGGGCCTTAAAGAGCGCCGAGGGGCCAGAGGGTAATGGCTGTTTAGTTTACACGTGCATGATAATGCCTTTCACTTTCACTCCCAACAGGGCTCGACCCCCGAGGGGACGTCCAATCACAAAGGTCGACAACAATGGGCTTGTCATTCAAGCGGTTTCCATGGCGACCACACAGCCCGCTGAGGCCACCGGGGGTCGTTTTCATCACCGAATTCTCCTTGGCTGGGACTAATTGCTGTGTTTGTGCTGGTGTTCTGTGTCAGCGCTCGGGCAAATTCCCAACACAACACAAATATCAATCACGCTAATCATAGGCTGCTCTTCCCTTCGCATTGGTTTCCATACTCTGGGCTCATCTGTATCTGCTGCTCCTCTCTGTTGTGACCCTGTGACTCAGGAGTTTAAGTGTTAATGTTGTTTGAACAACTAATGATTACATATTAATACATCTGCTAATTATTTTATTAATAATTATACTATTTATTTACTTAGTATATATATTTATTGGTCTGTTAAGTGCCGGAAATTTGATATATTTGGTTGTTCCAAAAGCCAAAGCCATGAAATTTGCTGGTATAAGTCAGCATCTGAGACACTAGAATCCTTCTGTTGACTGACTAATCATTACAGCTCAAATGCTGTTTTTGTTCACCAGCAATTCATCTGCCATATAAACTGGCAACTTTTGCCAAAAGGCATCACGTCACATGATTTCTTGGTTCTGCATTTTGTCCGACTTCGCTGTCGCTCTCTTGTTTTGGATTTGTTTTTCCCTCTCTTATCCCGGGGCATTTTAGCATCCGAAGCCTAATAAACGTCTGGACACTGCGAGTCTAAAGTAATTCCACCATCTGGGCGAGCGTCACTTTGGTAAGCGCAGTGTGACAGGGCGAACGAGCCACAGCGTCCTCATGGGTCTGAGGCCTTGAGATCAGAAGGAGCTGACTGTGTTTATCAGAAATGCGCCTTTCAAGTCCCAAAAGCTACCAAAACAACCCGAGACCCTCTGAATACTAGTGGAATGGAAAAAAGTATGCTCTGCACCCAGGACACAACGCCTGAGTAAAAGCCTGCATGCTTTCTTGAAAAGGTGTTTGCCTCAGGCCTGAAAAATTCACAGTTAATGACTGACTTAGTTAACAAATATGTCCACTTAATCATACACCAATCAGGGCTATCATCGAAGGAGATTAGTATTCATCTAAACCTGGTGCAAGGTCAGAGCCTTGGGGAAACTGAGAAGCTGTGAATTCATGTAGCACCTGGACCACATATATTATCGCCTCACAACAACCACCACAGTTCTGACCTGTAGCACAGACAGACTTTCCTATATGTGACTTGTCTTTTTTTTTTTCTTATTTTCTTTAATCCAGTCACTGACAAGTAAAACAGATGCTGTGTCAGTGTGGCTTTTGTGGATGACTGCTGCTTGCTTTAATTGGAATTTGCAGTGCAAGGAAAGTTCAAAAAAACTTCTTATAGTCGTAGTAAAATCTTTTTTTTTTTTTGATCGTTTTAGAAAACCATTTCTGAGTAGCTTCAAGGACAGCTTTGAGTTTGAAGCGCGTGACTGGAAGGTTTGAATAAATCTATAGTACGGAGCATTAAGCTGTACGCATTCAGTTTTTTTTTAATAAAAGACACATTTTCTGCTCATGTCCTTTGTGCTTTCAAAACAATATCATAATTTTGCCAGTGAGTGAAATGGAAATTTACTCTGTCAACGAATAATGGAGGGTTCAGACAGCAGGAAAGTTGCAAGTTGCATACAAAAGCAATGATTTTATTGGATCTGAAATAAATAACACTGTGAATATTTCTTCCCATAATTAGCCAGAAAGCATCTGAGTGTGAATTTTTCGCAGCTTGCATATCATCTGTCAAGCTATTGATATTTCCAGGGCTTGTGCACTGCTATTTGCTACTCTAAAGTCTTTCTGTTTTTTGTCCTTAAATAAAAAAAAAGAAAAAAGATGATGACATAAGTCATATTTTCCAAGCTTCCCCTAGATTGCACTTGTGCACTTGCTGCAGAGAATGCAGGAAGCTGAGCTGAGAAATCAAACCAGACTCTAATCAACTGTAATCAGGTATTAGAAAGAGGGAAGAAAAGGCCAAACATTGCTGTGAATTTGTTTGGATATAAAGATTTAATGAAAGCTGTAAGGTAGCTGGTGATGGCTGCACTCTGCCAGCACCACCAAGCGGCCAGACACCGCACAGCATAATGCAAAACTTCGAAAACTGATTATTTGCCTTATTGTGGATTTGCGATGGTGCGCGCGTCCTGCTCGGTGCTGGCATATTTCCATTCCGCAGCATATTTAAACCTGTGTTCACCGGTGATGTGAGTGCAACACAGGGAATCTCAGAATAAGTTGAAGCACTCCCGTTTATGATTATAAGAAAGCTTCGCATTTGTGAGAGGAATGGCTACAGAAGTGTGGCACATATCTAAATAATAACAAAAAAAATCTGGTGCGTAATTCATAATAAATATGTTTCTTCTTACCAAGTGAGGTGCCCAACTCCCGTTCATCTAGCAGGGAACGAAGCTGCGTGTCTTGTCCCGGTGAGAAGAGTGGTGGTGAGGAGGCACAGAAAATGAAGATGAGCTCAAGATGAAATATCCCCGGTTCGGCTGTGACTCCTGCCAGAAATCGACCTCGGTACAAAAAAGAAAAAAAAAAAAGAAGAAAAAAAAGAAAAACTCCTTCTCTCTCTGCAGAGATTCCTCTGCGCTCTCTCTCTCTCTCGTCCCTCCGGATCCCCGTGTGCTATTTCTGCCCCTACAGAGAAGCGCTCTGTGCCGGTGGCTCCTCGGCGCACGGTTTGTAATCGGACACCGCACTGACACGCTGCGCCACAGACAATAAAGCCCTCCGCTCTTTGGGGTTGTGCGATAAAGCGCTCGGGAAAAAAAGAGAGAAAAAAGTCAAACTTTCCTGTAACTAAAGCGGCCGGTGCGTGTGCATGAAGGAGCCCAAAACAACGGAGTGCGGAGGTTGGCTGATGTGTCCAACGCTGCTCTCCGTTACAGCTGCGCAGCACACGAGCAGGGTTTTGATGGCTGAGGATTGCGCCCCCACTTTGCGCGTCCACTCCAGCAGCGAGGAGAGACGTGGCAGCGGCGCACAGCTGTCCTGCAGGTGGAGGAGAGGAATAGAAGGCTGAAGCCACAAGTTGGATTTTTGGACAGTTTGAGCTATTCTGGCATTGGTGGTGCACTATTGATCCCAACAGTGAAAGTCTTTCCCTGGCTTCTCCTTTCCAGGGAGGTCAGAGGCCACTCACCCCTTAAGCATGGGTTACATGCATGTCATTCTTAAGCTACTTTTGGACATCAATACTTGAGAAAGAGACACAAAACTTTTTTTTTTCCCCTAACAAATGTCAGCTTCCTGGGTCATTTTTTGGTATAAATCCCACAAATAGTGGTGAGGATTCAATTTCAAGGACACTCCAGCAGAAAGGATGCTCACTGGGAGTACAGTTTGAACCCTGCCGCGCAGATTTGTAACCACAGGGACCCAGCTGTCCAATATTGTTAATGGAATGTTTTGTAACTGCTTTACGTGGCCAAAAGCCATTCTTCCATTCATCCAACAGCAACCGCGTCTTTTTTTAGAAAGTAAATATACACCATGTCTTGATATAAAGTGTGTGTGTGCGTGAGAGAAGAAGGAAACAAGAAAGCGAGTGCGCTGTGTTTCTGCGTCTTTGTGTATTTTAATAGTGACATCCTCGGTTCAATTACCTATTTATCCCCCGGTGAATGAACACAGCCTCTATCAAGCTCCAAAAGCCTGAAGTGTCGTACACAGCTTTAGGGCTATGACAGAAAATGTGTCTGTCTTTTTGACAGGCATGTTGTGGAGTCAACAACAGCCTGTTAATACGCCTCTTCGTTAAACAGGAACGTGCCTCTGTGAATGCCTCTTCTCCTGTGTACCCACATCTAAATTCAAATCAGGTAATTTTCATAAAAATGTCGCTACCCACGAAGGGGGGAAGTAAAGCTGAGATTTACATTTCAAGTGGCCTCTGTGCAACACTGGGAAATGCGTGGGTAACCTTTTCCTTTCTCTTGCTGTGCAGGGAGGTGCAATGGGAGCTTTCTTAAAATTTCCGAACAGATTGGATGATGACATGGCATGCCAAAGGCAGAGATACTGCTTGACATAATGTAATGTAGAAACTAAAAGGAAGAATAAATGAAGTTCCATTGCGATAAACCGACTGTAAAGCGGTAGTTGGAAAATCAGCTATCCAATGTAGTCTCATCCGCTAAAAGTGTTGTGACCTCCAGAACTTTTTTTCCTCCTCGCTTCAGGAATTTCAGACTCTCTTTGCCTCTGCATGGTTTTCCTCTCTCACACAATAGATGTTTTACTCCCTCATGGCCAAAAGCGAAACCCGCAGTGCTCCAACTAAACTTCAGAGTGAGACTTCAGCTGTCTAAGCTGCACGGAGAGAGCAAATTTCATCAGAAAAAAACCATGCAGTGTCTTTGAATGGACCATCAGACTCAGTGATGGATGGGTGTGAGTACATTAGTTCATGATGGGAGGCCTGAAACAGAATGAGTCAAAGCTGCACTGGCAATCGGTTCTCCACTGGTGTGTGTGTGTGTGTGTGTGTGTGTGTGTGTATGCGGATGGGTGTGTGGCTACCTTTGTTGCTCAGCATTCCTGTTTTGATGTCAGGCAAACGCACTTAAGTTGCCAGGCAACCACAAAAAAAAAATTCTGTTTCAGAAGAAGCCTCCTATATTTCACCTGGTCATTTAAGATCTCAGTCGGGTGAAATTGTGTGTGTGTATTGTTTCATCTTGCAGCTTTTTGAAGACATGGGGTTTTATTCTACTAAGTGCCAAGTAATACTTTCAGAGCGATATCAGGATGAAAGAAAATGAATGCCGGCTTTTATGTGTCTGCAAAAAATACCAGAGGGGAAAGAAATACAAATTTGGGAATGTTCCTTGGCATGTCGAATCATTTGTTGTTATGTTTCCTTCATATGACCACATGTATTTGTAATGGATTGTGTACAGTTGTGTGTGTCGGTATACAGCGATGGAAGGAGTCACTAACAGCAGGCCAAGTCCTTGCTTTGGTGCCAAACCTCAGTTGACCGTAGCCGAGCCCCCAAAATCCCTCTGTCAAACAGGCCATCTGTCATGCAGTTTCTCTGCCGTTTCAAGCCCCAGGTCAGCTCACACCTTGCAAACACAGCCAGCCAACCAGTCAGCCGCTGGGACATGCAAAACACACACACACTTACTGACACATGAATGCAACATTTTCACACACTGGCACAATCAACCCGCTTACGCACAGGCTCGGTCGTACGAGAGTGATTGTTCGTTCGGCTGAGTCAGGTTGGAACTCGGAGAGGTGAGAGTACAGGTGAGCGGGAGAGAAAACAAAGGTGTTTTGGTCATTTCCCAGGAGAGCAGGAGCTGGGGAATAAAAAAAAGAAGAGGGGTACATGGCTATGAAAAGATAGCAAGGGTGAGAGAGCGAGAGTAAAGCTGGCCAGCTGTGAAAGACTGCAGTCATTCCTCACTCTGAGCTCCATACCTGCAGACTCAATGAGCCATCCCACGCTGCAGCAGGGCCAAAGCCATGCGATTTCTCAGGCTTACTCAGCCTTACTGTGCCCCTGCAGCAGCAGTATCCAGGGCCTTGTAGTGCCAGGACTCCACAAAGTCTACTTCCCCTGCCACGCTCCACGGGAGGAAGGATTGGTCAATGACGCCGTAACTGTCAGAGTGTCAGAGGAAGTATGTATGCGACAGGGAAGAGAGCGATTCTGTAGGTGCCGGACTCAGCAAAAATTATGAACAGGTTTAAGTTTCTGTAGGGGGCTAATTTATCAGCTAAAGATCGCGATGACGCTCTTTGATACTTTGACTCCTTCACCTTATTAGTCACGCTAACGTCATACCTCTATAGGGATGACAGTATTGATCTGTAGGTGAGCCCACCGCTCTGTTCAGACAGAAATATCCCATTACAACTTTAGGACAGATTGCTATGGTGCTTGGCACAGATATAAATGGTGCCCACAGGACGGATCCTAGTTTCTTTGATCACCTGACCCTCCTAAAGCGCCACCAGCAGGTCAGAGTTTTGATTTATCCTGAAATATCTCAGCATGTACTAGATACATTAACATATATCTCACAGACTCATAGTTCCCAGATGATAAACCCAGTGACTTTGATGACCCCCTGAGAACTATCAGCTCATGAAGTTTGCCAACATTTACATTCTCTTCAGAAGAAATTCCACTGAAAGGGGCAATTCATGCTTTCTGCATTGATGCGATGTGGACAGCAGACGAGGTCGTGGTTCCGTTCATACATTTTAAAGCATGCGTTCGTAGATGCATTCCACGTATGCGCATTAAACAATGGACTGCATCACTGTGTTTCCATGCTTACATGAAAGTAAAATGATGGTTAAAAAAAAGCATGAAATGGAGCTTCTACGCTTGCAGTTCTTGGCAGAACAAGAAAAAGTCAAGAAAAGAAAACATAAATGGCATCCACTTAACACGACCGTGACAAAGGACGGGGAATACAGTACACGGGTGCAAGAAATGAGAAGCATCAACACGGACAAACATCCTCAGTACTTATAAGCGCAAGGCTCAAAGTTCAGTTAACTAGTGTGTTGCATTACTCATTGAATCAAACACAGAAAAACCCACAAAGCTCCTGTGGATGTTTCTGAAAAGCAGGCTGTGACTTTACGCTTTTTAGCTACAGGATCTGCACAGCCTGCAGCCGGAGTTTGTTGCATCCTTTTCCAGAACACAGTGGGTGGACAACTGCATAGGATTTCTGGTGAATTTGGAACTTTCCACTGTGTTTGGGTGCCACTGATGGATGACAAGTACAAATAAAAGCAACCCCGAAGTCCGGCAGCGACTGTTTCAGTTACAAACGTATTCCGTCGTTCTCATTGCTGCATGTGATGCACATTATTGCTTCACAATTGTGGGCGTGGAAGAATACCTCAAGACACCTTTGGAGATCCCTTTACTATTCATATTGTGGCAGCATCATGTCAAAGGTTTTGTTTGCTCAGTACTTGGTTTAAAGCAATAAAAAAAAAAAAAAGTAATGACAGTTTTAGCTGTACTTTCTTTTGCCAATTATCTAGTATTAGCATGCTAAAAAGCTAAACTTAGATGGTGAATATGCTAAATATACCTGCTAAACATTTAAATGTTTGCATTGTCGCTGGTAGTTTTTAAACATGATGACTAAAGAATGTTCTTTTTTGTAGAATTTAGGACATTTATTCATCTTCTGCACTTCACTTACAATATTTTTTATTCTACTCTTTAATGTTCTATACAATGACAGAGTATCAGGCCCCCTTAAGAAAAATAGCTTTCCACAGACTTCGAGAATAAAGTCATAGTATTATGTTACGACCTGGCTCAAGACGGCCGCAACAAAAGGAGAGATACACCAAGTTTCAAAAATTAAAGCTTATCTTTATTCCCAAAATCAAAGCTGTTACCAGCCAAATTCACTGTTTAAACCAAATGTTTACTTACAAGCCGATAAGCGCATATTCCAAACAGTCAAACAAATGTAGATTTCCAAGACCAATGCAAATGGTCAACCACAAACGCTCACAACTTTCTGTTCCTCAAACGTCAGCCCAGCTCTCAGCACAACTACTGTTACTGCC